CGGTCGGCGCCCTATCCGCGCGTGCTGCGCCAGTGCTCCAGTGAATTCGGCGTCTTGTCTGAGTTGATCGATGTCTTCCATTACGATCACATTCACGTCGACGCTGGGGAGCTTTCGGAGTGGCTCCTGGAGCGCGCCGACGGCCGCGAGCGCATTCCGCGCGCGCGCAGGGAATCGCCGTGACGAGCGTTCCGTCCCGGATTCTGCGCGCGTCAACTGGCGCTGCCCCAGCGCTTAGGAAGGCCACGTTCGACTGGTGCTCACGCTCGCCAGCTGCCGGCGCGCGCCATCGGCGCGCGGGCCCGATGCCGCCGCGCGCGCGCGTGCGACCAAGGGCTGGAGCGCGGCCGACGCACTGGCCCCACGCCGAATCCATTCGACGCCTTGCCTGCCACAGGGGCCCCGCACTTGCGAGCTCGCGCGCGCAGCGTCGCGATTCCTCCGCCATGTCTGCGCGCGCCTCAGCGAGGACCTGCGCGTCGCCTCCATGGCCGCCACGGCCCGCCCACTCGCCTGCCAAAGTGGGCGGGTCTCTCAGCGCGCGCGCTGGGCGCGTGCAATCCGCCGCCTTGCCTTGAAGGGCGTGGACTGAAATTTCACGCGACTGGCCCCGCAGGGCGACGCCTGCGCCGCGCGCCCGCCGACTCCGCGCTTCTCGCTTTCCGCGCCGAAACACCGGAGACCCCGCGGAAGATGGGCGCGTGGACTAGTAGAAGGCGCGCGAGCCGCGCGCCGCGCCCTCGAATTACCTCCGCCATTCAATGCTGTAGAATGCAAGCGTGAACGCGCGCGCGCGCGTCGAGCGCCGCTCAACGCACTCTCGCGCGGCGAAGCGACACGCCGATGAAACCCGCGGAATCGCGCGGGGCGCGATGACTGGGGCCCCCATCGGCACAGGGAGCACCAACATCTCAGTCGCGAGAGATGCGGCGAGGAAGGCGACGCGCGGAGACCCAATAAACAAATTACTCGGGCGGGGCTGTAGGTCCAGCAACCATGGCGCTCTGCTCCTGGCTGCCGCTGCTGCTACAGCTCTCCGCCCGGCAAGGGCCGCCGCCTGCCCCTCGACGCCTAGCGCCAGGGAAGCTGATGGAGAAGGGGGGGGGGGGAGGACGCATCGCCGATGAGCCCCCGACTGCAGAAGCTCATGACCCCGTGCCCGCGGGGGCGCGCAGGCCGCGATCAGGGGGCGATGCCCTGTCGGCGCCCATGATGGCGCGGCATCGCGCAGGGTGGGCGGCGTCGCGAGGCTTGCCAGGTAAGTGTCTTGCGCTCCGCGGGTGCGATCGAATGCCCGGACGCCCAACGCCGCCCGCCTCGACGCGCAGGTATACTCGCGACCATCTCAGGCAGCGGGCTGCAGGGCCGCTAGGATAACCCATCCAGCTACGCTGGCGACAAACAGAAGCCAAGGCCCAAGCGGGCGGCAGCTCTGGGGGAGATGCTGCCGACTCCGCTCGCGACGAAGGGCCGGCGACGGCGCGGCGCGCCTCGCCTATGGGGGAAGGGCAGGGCGGGCATCCGCACTTCAACCCCTCGACGTCGCAGCGGGCCCACAGGGGGTAGACAACCCCCCCCCCTCTAGAAAACGCGAAAAGGCATTTGCGCCAAAGTGGCGCAGCGAGTGGACTCGCTCATCGCCTTGAGGGGGTCGATAATGGCATTCTCCAAAGACCACCGCTCGCCCTGCGCGCGGCGCCCCCCTGCCCGCGGCCACCGAGCGGCGCCCAGCTGACCCGCGGGCGAGGAAGGGCAATCTCGCAGAAATCCGTTCCTGAGGTGGATACTTTGTCAGGCAATCCGCAGGGAAGAGTGGCGCGCCTCGAAGGATCCCGCGTCGCGGCCGCGCGCCCAGCCCTTGGGCGGCCCGCGCTCGTGCCCGCGCAGTGTGGCGGACGTGTGCCTTCTGCTCTCGCCAAGAGCCGTCGAGGAGCTGCGAGAGGCCGCGGCCGGGGCCGCCCTGTCCCTCGGACCAGGCGTCGCCAGCTGGGCGCCGCATCTCCTTCCAAACCTTCGCTCGGCACGTGCGCCCGCAGCGCTCCCCGCGCCGCTCGCTCCCCCGACCGGCCCCGATCCTCGACCTAACTCTACTCCGCTCTGCTATTGTTTACTCAACCCTGCATTGTGCGACTCTTCTTAACGCCAGCTCTACTCTACTCTACTCGTACTCCACTCTTTTGTCTCTCACTCGGCCACCTGGCCGGCCCATCGCAACCATGCCCGTGGAGGGAGGGCATCCTACTGGCCGAAGCTGCGCTGCGCGCGGGCGCACGCGGGCCGCCCTCGCTGCCCCGAGCCACGCGACCCCGCGCCCAGGGCTCGCGCCCGCGGAGCGCCTCGCGCGCGCATTGCAGCGCGCGGCCCCGCGAGCAGGGCTCGCGCGCGCACGGGGCGACGGCGCGCGCTCTCCCGTGCGCGGCCCCGCGAGAAGGGCTCGAGCGCGCGGGGCCTGGGCGCGCGGCGCGCGCGCTTTCGCCGCTCGCCTTTCTGCTTGCATCGCGGCGCGCCTCGGGGTCGCGCGGGGCGCAGGCGTCGTCGCTGGCGCCCTGCAGGCATCGGCGCTTGCGCCCTGCCGTCGCGGACGGCGCGCGCGCTTTCGCCCCGCTCCCCCGCTGTCGGGGGCACTTGCATCCCTGGCGCCGCGCGCAGGCTCAGACTGGCGCCGCCAGGCTAGGCGGCGCACGGGGGGCCGCGCCCATTGGTCAAAAAAGCGCGGGCGCCCTCGGGTGCGACTGCGGCAGCGGGGCCGCGCGAGCGGGAGAAATATTGACCTCGCCCGCGAGGGCCGCGCGATTGGCGAATGTAGATGGCAGCGCGGTGTCAGCGCAGCGCATGCCTCATCCTCGCCGCGCCCATTTCTACTCTACTCTGTTTTACCCGACCCCATACCATCGACTTTTCTCTACCATACTGCACTCTACTGTACCCTACCTTACCCCGTCCTACCCGACTGTGCCCCATTATCCGATCCTCCCCTCCCCTTCTGTACTATTCCGCGCCACTCACTCATCCACGCTTCTCTGCTCGACTCTCCTCATGACAGGGGATCTGTCGACCCCTGCCCCAAGCTTCGGCACGCTTTCGACTGGGCAAACAATGGCGAGGGCCGAGCCTGGGAGTCACTGTGGGGGGCGTCCACCCTGGATAGTGGTGCGTCCGAACAGCTCCCTGCTCGCTTTTTCGTCGAAAACTACAGAAACAGGAGAAAAAACTGAAGGGCTCCCGCGCGCACGCGATTGCGCGCGCTATTTCGTCCCTGGGCACGGTGCTCCGCGGGCGACAACCAACTTCGCGCGCTCCAAGCACGCAGTCTTTCTGCGTGCAACCCACCTGGCGCCGGGCCCACCTCGCAGTGATTTCTGCGCTGGCAGAACAGAAAAAACGCGCAGAGCTCATGAAACGATCGTTCACGAAGCGATCGCTGGGTCCCCGTGGATCATGCAAGATCTCGTCCCTGCCGCCGAGTCGGCTCGGACGTCGCCCAAGCGCGCCGTCGCCCGAGGCCGACGCTGCAATCGGGCAACCCGCTTTCACTGATTCCCAAATCTGAACGGATCCCGACAGCGTCTTGGCATACACATTATACTGCCCAGTTCGCACCACTCGCGCTGGCGCGCGCCCATGCGGCGTCGCGCAGAGACGGCCGGCACCGGGAACGCACAGACTGCGCAGCAGCCGACGCGATCGCGGACGAGGCGACGCCGCGGCTATTTCGACGCGCCTGGCGCAATATTCTGCAGCGCGCAAATGGCTTGCCCTCTGACGAAAATGCCTGCACGCCGCCAACTCTTGCCCCCAGCCCGCAGCCGATGCGCCGCGCGGTCCACGCCCCCGCCACTGCCCAGCACATCCGCACAATGAACTGATTAATGACCCCATCACGTGCGCCTGTGCGCGCTGCGCGCAAGGGCGACGGACGCGCCGGCGAGCGCAGATGGGCGAGCGGGCAAGAGGGCAGGGCGGATGGCAGGGAAGCTCTGTCTCGGAGGCGTCGCCGCTGCGTTCACGCCCTCGTAAGTCGCCTGCGCAGCGACGCGCGAGTTCCCTCGCGGCGAGGCTTGCGTGCAGGGGCGAGGGCGCCAGCAAAGCCTCGCGACCATAATTGCACCTCCGCTGCGGGGCGCTGGAACGTGCGCCGACGGCCAGGCCGGCCGGGGAAGGGACATGCGCGGCACCTGTTCGCCATTGCTTCTTTCAGGCGACACCTGGCCGGGGTGGCGCACGCCGTATCTGCGACGAAGATTCGCCGCGCCGCCAGCGGCGCGGAAACATGAACCGCGCACGCGCAGCCGACCGCTTCCAGGCGACGGGCTCGAGCCAGACGCGCGGCGTTTCGCTGCCAACTTCAGCCCTGCATGCTGAGTGGCGCGCCGCGCCTGCGCTTCGGGGCGTAGCCGCAGCCCCGCGTCGCTCCGAAGCGCCCGACAACTGCTGGCCGCCTGGAGAAGCGACTGCGTGGCCAAAGCAAGCAGCGCGTCATTGACGTCTACTGCAGTCGGCGCGACGGCGTGCAGCCGCCGCGGCGGGCGCGCCAGGACTGCGCGAGCACGCGTTGGTGGACCGGGCTGGCGACCGCCAGTGCTTCGAACGCCTCGAAGCACTCGGATCGGCAGGCAGTGCGCCCTCGAGGCCTTCTTTGAAGCCGTCTTAGCTCCTGCGCGCAAGCCCCGCCGCATGATTTCAACGACCAGTGCAAAGTGATACGACGGCGACTACCGGTCCGTCGCCCCCGTCGCGGCGCGCGCCCCCTTGGCCCGCGCCGCTTCTCAGCGTCGCGATCACCGGCTGCAAAAATATGCGCGCGCTAACGGCGGACGGCGCGGGGGACCGCCAGTCGCTTTGCGCGTCGGTGGCACTGGCAGCGAAGCCTGCAAGCAACGCAAAGATAACGCCAATGCCGAGATTCGCTTCCAGCCTTCGAACTCCATGTCCGATCAGAGCCACCAGCGGCAGCCCCGCGCGCAGGACGGGCGCCGTCTGCGCCGCGGCGGCACTGGAAGGCGCAGTCGCGAGAGCCGCGCGAAGCACAACCATGAGCGGCGAGACGCGGTCAGCATGCGAAGCATGGGTCGCAGCCAGCCGCGGCTGCGGCTGGCCAAGATTGTCATCGCAATCAAACCAACTCGTTTCTCAAATCGTCAAGGCTGATTCGCGGCGAAGCGGCAGCGCGGCACTGATTCGCGCGGTTGGCGTTCGCGCTATCGGAGGAAATCTGCCCGGAGATGGTCGGCTTCTTCCTGTGCTGGGACGACGCGGGCCAGCCGCGGTCGGCGCCCTATCCGCGCGCGCTGCGCCAGTGCTCCAGTGAATTCGGCGTCTTGTCTGAGTTGATCGATGTCTTCCTTTACGATCACATTCGCGTCGACGCTGGGGAGCTTTCGGAGTGGCTCCTGGAGCGCGCCGACGGCCGCGAGCACATTCCGCGCGCGCGCAGGGAATCGCCGTGACGAGCGTTCCGTCCCGGATTCTGCGCGCGTCAACTGGCGCTGCCCCAGCGCTTAGGAAGGCCACGTTCGACTGGTGCTCACGCTCGCCAGCTGCCTGCGCGCGCCATCGGCGCGCGGGCCCGATGCCGCCGCGCGCGCGCGTGCGACCAAGGGCTGGAGCGCGGCCGACGCACTGGCCCCACGCCGAATCCATTCGACGCCTTGCCTGCCACAGGGCCGTCCCGGCACTTGCAGCCTCGCGCGCGCAGCGGCGCGATTCCTCTCCTTCCGCATTCTGCGCGCGGCCTCGGCGAGGACCCCTGCGGTCGCCCCTCCCTGGCCGCCACGCCCTCCCACTACGCCTGCCAAGTGGTTGTCTCTCAGCGCGCGCGCCGGGCGCGTGCAATCCGCCGCCTTGCCTTGAGGGACGTGACTGAAATTTCAGGCGACTGGCCCCGCAGGGCGACGCCTGCGCCGCGCGCCCGCCGACTCCGCGCTTCTCGCTTTCCGCGCCGAAGCACCGGAGACCCCGCGGAAGATGGGCGCGTGGACTAGTAGAAGGCGCGCGAGCCGCGCGCCGCGCCCTCGAAATACCTCCGCCATTCAATGCTTTAGAATGCAAGCGTGAACGCGCGCGCGCGTCGAGCGCCGCTCAACGCACTCTCGCGCGGCGAAGCGACACGCCGATGAACCCCGCGGAAACGCGCGGGGCGCGATGACTTGTGCCCCCATCGGCACAGGGAGCACCAACATCGCAGTCGCGAGAGATGCGGCGAGGAAGGCGACGCGCGGAGACCAAATAACCAAATTACTCGGTGGGCGCTGTAGCTACAACGCATGCGCGCTCCTGGGGGGCCTGCGACAGCTCGCCCGCCGCGCGCCGCCGCCTGCCCCTCGACGCCTAGCGCGAGGGGGGCTGATGGAGAAGGGGGGGGGATTCGGCGACGCATCGCCGATGAGCCCCCGACTGCAGAAGCTTATGACCCCGTGCCCGCTGGGGCGCGCAGGCCGCGATCAGGGGGCGATGCTTCCCCCTCCCTGTCGGCGCCCATGATGGCGCGGCATCGCGCAGGGTGGGCGGCGTCGCGAGGCGTGCCAGGTAAGTGTCTTGCGCTCCGCGGGTGCGATCGAATGCCCGGACGCCCAACATCGCCCGCCTCGACGCGCAGGTATACTCGCGACCATCTCAGGCAGCGGGCTGCAGGGCCGCTGGGATAACCCATCCAGCTACGCTGGCGACAAACAAATGCCAAGGCCCAAGCGGGCGACAGCTCTGGGGGAGATGCTGCCGACTCCGCTCGCGACGAAGGGCCGGCGACGGCGCGGCGCGCTTTGCCTAGGGGGGAAGGGCAGGGCGGGCATCCGCACTTCAACCCCTCGACGTCGCAGCGGGCCCACGGGGGGTAGACACCCCCCCCCCTCTCTAGAAAACGCGAGAAGGCATTTGTGCCAAAGTGGCGCAGCGAGTGGACTCGCTCATCGCCTTGGGGGGGGTCGATAATGGCATTCTCCAAAGACCACCGCTCGCCCTGCGCGCGGCGCCCCCCCGCCCGCGGCCACCGAGCGGCGCCCAGCTGACCCGCGGGCGAGGGAAGGGCAATCTCGCAGAAGCCGGCGCGGCCCATATACTTTGTCAGGGCATCCGTTCGTTCTCTGGCGCGCTCGAAGGATCGCCGCGTCCGCGGCCGCGCGCCAGTCCTTGGGCGGCCCGGCGCTCGCGCCGCGCAGGTGGTCGCGCAAGCATCGCTGTCTTCGCCAAGGGCCGTCGTGGAGCTGCGAGAGGCCGCGGCCGGGGCCGCCCTGTCCCTCGGACCAGGCGTCTCCAGCTGGGCGCCGCATCTCCTTCCAAACCTTCGCTCGGCACGTGCGCCCGCAGCGCTCCCCGCGCCGCGCGCTCCCCCGACCGGCCCCGATCCTCGACCTAACTCTACTCCGCTCTGCTATTGTTTACTCAACCCTGCATTGTGCGACTCTTCTTTACGCCAGCTCTACTCTACTCTACTCGAACTCCACTCTTTTGTCTCTCACTCGGCCACCTGGCCGGCCCA